TAGGTTTTACAAATCTAAAGTGTGGGAGCTGAGATATGTTCTTTTTATTGCTGAAAAACTGTGGTATTTTGAAACGTTTCTGTGCAAAGTTGCTCTTCACACATAACTGTTGCATGTTGTGAAGGGTAGCGTTTGGATCAAGTCATGCACTCATACCTGTAAATAAGCAACAAAATCACCCAAAAGATATCTATTCAACATTCACCCTTCATGTCCCTACGCATATGATATAGAAGACAGTTTTAAATATATTACCTAAAGATTTGCAATCCGATATAAAATTTACTTGGATAAATAAACCTTGCAATTTGCATTTAGACACAGCATTGTTAAAAGATTTTTCTGACAACTGATATTCATCTTTATAGATTGATTGTATAGAGAGTTGTAGTCAGTCACTCAAGATGCAGTTTGATCTTCATATGATAACAACGAGGCACAAGTAGGCTTACTTATAAGGGAAACATGATTATTTATGAAATATTCTATTTTCTTTCATGATAACGATCTTATATTTATAGTAGTAAAATGGGTAACGAAACTGCTCTAACAACTATAAAACCAATCTTTATTTAATGACACTCAAGTACAAAAATGACATTCACCAATTGATATCCATTGCGCAGTTTCCTCGGACAGCTCTTTGCTGCGTTGAATCGTGTTCGAGAAGGGAAACATGTTTTCTTCAGGATGCTGTTCAGGAGGTCCATAGAAAAGTATACTTGTTAATTTTGCAGTAAAGTAATTGAGAAAACTCAGCACACAATTCTTCTTTAAAACACTGGTTCATATTTGATTTAAAACGTCAACTTGTGTGACCTTGGCCATATAATTTTTGTTTCACTAACCTGGAAATAGGAGTTCCATGCCCGCAGCCTCTGAACTTCAGAGATTCCTCGTGGGATTATATTGCTTTTTATATTAATTGCCATAAGTTATTTCCTTTATCAGAATATTTGATAATTTGTGTAAATATATATAATTTCATTTTCATAATAAATACTATGAAAATTCTAAGACGATCGATGTTATTGCCGAATATAACTCTGTGCGATGGCATCCGTAAAGTTCATGACGGGCACGTGACGTAACAGTACATGATTGGTGGGATTAACATGTCCCTTCTGGGCATGTGCAGGATTAAAAAATGAGCTTAATATTAAAGCCTGGACCAGAGGTGCATTAAAAGTTGATCCTGGACGCTGCCAATGCGCATGCGCACGAGAGATCTGGATTAAACTTTAATACTGGATTAACTTTTAAGGCACGTACAGAAGACGCCCTAAGCCGAACACAACATTCCCATATGAAAAATGGCTAAATCAGAGTAATTGCAAGTACGTCTAATCCGTTTCCCTGTGGCTGAAAAACGAATTTAAAAAACGTTGTAATTAAAACATTCGCGGAGAATCATAATTAACATAATTCCTTGACAAACTTCAATCGCTCCTGAACGTGGCCCTTTCTCGCAGCGACTGCCAGCCTCTGCGACGGGACTCGCCGACACTCCCAAAGCCCATGGCAGCGTGCGCGTCGGAATTGAACCCATCCCGCAATACCGATCCGCCTCTTTGCCATCCGTCTCATTGTCCATGCAGGATCCATCCCGCAGGATCAAACTCCGAAACGGTTGAGGACTGAGGGCCGGAAATTGGCCTCTTCGCCGCCACAATGCTCGGGACCCGCACCGCGCTCTCTTCTCGGACCAAAAACAATTTTAAGCAGGTCGGTGACACACTCTATTCGCCAGACGTGACTCCGAAAGAATTCAGGGCATTTCTAAAAGCCAAATCTGCTATCGAGTTTAAGCCCTTGACTTTAATTTAGAAGCATTTGATTCGGGTTTAAATGGAGGGTAAAAGACACTTGCCCAAATATCTCCACTGATGGCTTTATTGTCCCAAAACTATATTATAGTCTGTAAAAGCGAACGTTTCGAAAGGTACACCGATAATGTGGATGTAAAATTTCAGAGGAGTATACATACACTGTACATGTTATTGCATTACTTTATAAATGTGTATAAAAACAAGTACATGTTGTATATACATTTGCTGTTCATACACTAATACATACTTAATACGCATAAAGTATATTGCAAACACACACACACACACACACACACACACACACACACACACACACACACACACACACACACACACACACACACACACACACACACACACACACACACACACACACACACACACACACACACAATATATATATATATATATATATATATATATATATATATATATATATCACTTATTTAGTATAAAACGTTGGCAAAACCTGGTCTTACAGGATTAAGGACGAAATGTCCAGAGCTTTAAAAATCCAACATATATATTTTTTGAAAACGTAACCAGGAGCTGTAATGGTCATCCCTTTCCCTGACCTCGTCCCTCTCTAACAAACAAATATGCCCGAGAAAATGTGTCAATTTTATATCTCTATAATCTCCCACAGAGAATTCGAAAAATGCAAATCTAACAAAACATACCGAAGTCACCACCGCCAATCCCCCGCTAGACTAAACAAGCGCTACCAGATGTCCGAACGCGGGAATTTTTCGAATTCTTTCCCGCCAAAACCATTTCATCTCGATCGCGCGAATCTCCCCGATCCATTTCCGCGCCTTAGGACCCTTCGCTTGCAACCCGCGCCGCACCTGAATTCACGGAAAGGTCCAGGATTAAGAGCATACCGTACAGCATATACTATTACGTACGGCATGGCTCTACAGCATAGCAGGGGGAGAGGGATCAACGGAGGAATTTCCCGGAGCCACGGCACGGGGGAAAAAAAGTTCGCGGGCTTGAAATAAGACGGTGGCGATGAGACCGAGAATCAAAATAAATACAGAGCAACTCTTCTGCAAATATCATTTCTATAAGAAGTCTTACTCAGGACATTCCTACAGGAAGTGCAAGGCTTCAAGATTCTCATAACTTCTGAAGAAAAACGTGTGATACTCGGTTAGAAATGTATTTACGAAGCTGATCTCTAATCTGGAAATATCCCGCCGAGTGAGTCATGAAGCGTATGGACGGAGGTAGAGAAAACGCTAACGAAAGCGCCACACCTGAGCAAAACAATTATATATACATACATATACATACATGCATACACACACACACATACACACGCACACACACACACACACACACACACACACACACACACACACACACACACACACACACACACACACACACACACACATATATATATATATTATATATGCATATATATATGTGTACACGTGTACACACACACACACACACACACACACACACACACACACACACACACACACACACACACATATATATATGTGTGTGTGTTGTGTGTGTGTGTGTGTGTGTGTGTGTGTGTGTGTGTGTGTGTGTGTGTGTATACAAAATATACATACATATATATATATACATATGTATACGTACATATATACAAAATATACATACAATATATATACATAAATATGTACATATATACGTTTAAATATATACTTAAATACCTTGATTGCTACTTAGAACACGTACGCACGCGACACTCACGCACGCACGCACACACACACACACACACACACACACTGTAACACATACAGCAGCCTAATAAACCACGAGAAGACAATTTTAGGCTCCCGACGAGGCAGCGGCCGCCACATGGCCATAGCGTTCGGGCCGAGACAGAGCGACTGCCGGCTTCTCTGCTCGCAAATGGTGGAAGGATGCACCTGCAACCCCAAACCCCACAGAGGTTTGAGTGAATGCTCTGTTAATCACTCCTGACATAACGTATCTATAATAAACAACACAGCTGGTTGACTGGCAAACTTAAGAAACAACTGCAGATAAACACAGAAATGGCAGTTAAAAATGGGGAAAGATTCTACGACAGCACGAAAATTCCTGGATTTTCGTCATACAAATTATGAATCTTGAAAGCCTGCCGAGACTCTTACTCTCCTACGTCTCTGCAGCAATGTTTGTGGTCCAGCAAGCAGACACACTGCGGGGTTCAGTGTGTGGAGACAGGATAAGTGTAAATATAAATGTACGTGTACACGCGCGCACGCACTCACACACACACACACACACACCACACACACACACACACACACACACACACACACACCACACACACACACACACACACACACACACACATATATATATATATATATTATATATATATATATATATATATATATTAATATGTGTATATACATTTGTATATACATTTATATATACATATGTATACATATGTGTGTGCGTGTGTATATATATTATATATAATATACATAATATATATAACATATATGTATAGATATATACATTTCTATATTCATCCATTTATACAAATATGCATATACATATACATACACGTATGCATATACATATGCATATACACATACATATACAAATATATATATATATACCTAAGTAGTATACAAACATAAACACGCGCGAGAGAGGAGAGTGAGGATGGAGGCGAACAGAGACCCGCGGATAAAAGCGAGAACAAAAAGGCCCGAGAACGCCGCATAAGTATGCAGGGAGGACGGAAGCGCTGGGAGCGAGGCGCGCGCGCGGCCGCCCAGCGCGAGCAAAGTAAACACGGCGTTCGGGCGCCACGTCCTGCCTCGCTCCGCTTCTAAGGCTCCAGTGACCCGGAAACGCAGCGCGCACATCCCCCAAAGGCACGTGATCATCAACAACAAAAATTCCCTCCTGTCTAAACACCTATTCAAGCAATGTGTACACACTACACACGAAAAAAAAATCTGCACACACACACGCACACACACGTAGGCGCACATGTTACACATAAAACCATCTCAAAAACCAAAGCAAATATGTACGAATGTTCCAATACGTGAAAGAAAACTGCACGTTCACGCACGCTCGTCTGCAGTTACTGAGGCTCAACATACACACACACGCACACACACCGCAGAACCATTACCATGATGAAAGTAAAGACGACGAGGAAATGAAAGTAAACAAAAAAGAGCTATTAAAACGAAGAAGAAAAATGCGTGTTCACCTTCAAGCGAACAGACCCGTTCAATGCCTGACGTCGACTCGTCTCAAGTGACGCAGCGACGTCCCTCGCATGCGTCGAAGGGGAGGTTGGGGCAGCAGCCACGCTCTTACCTGCAAGTGGAAAAAAACAAGACATTATTCATTTGATAATGATGAAGCAGTTAATTAAATCCATTTAAAGTATAGGCAATAACCCTTCCTTTCCTCACCCCTCTCCGGATTTTTGCAATGTTCGAATTATCTGCAAATTGCAACAAAAATATAACCATATACAAATAAGAGGAGAAAAAATATATAAACAAAGCCTACACACACACATATATACAATATAATATTATGATGACGATTATGTTCTTTTCACCCTTTTCCTTTTCGCTGCATCCCTCATTTGATGTTCTCCCATTCCTTGTCTTTTTTTCTCTCTTTGGTCTCCCCTCTCATACCCCTCTCCTCTGTTATTCTCCATTTCTTCCCACTCTTCTTCCTTTTATTTTTTCCTTTCTTTCTTCTTCTTCTTATTATTATTATTATTATTATTATTATTATTATTTTATTATTAATTATCAATTTTATTATTTTATTATTATTTTATCATCATCATCATCATCATCATCATCATCATTATTCTTAATATCATTATCCCTTTTTGTATTATTTTCCTCTTCGTCTCCTTTTGTTTCCTTTCCTCTCTCTCCCTCTCCACCTACTCTTCTTTATTCAACTACTACTTCTCCTCCTCCTCCTTCCCGTTGGCTGACTCTCTCTCAGTCTCTCTTCCCCGCACTCATACAAAACCCTCATTTTATCTCCCCACACCTGAGGGCAGCTGAGAGGAGCCGAGGCAGATGGGGACGAAGGAAAAGGAGGAGGGGGAGAGGAGGAGAAGGAAAGGGGAAGAGGGGGAGGAGGATATGGAGGAGATATAAATATAGAAGAGTAAGGAGGTGGAGTAGAAGGAGGGAAGGAGGGAAGGAGGGAGGGAGGGAGGGAGAAGGAAAAGAAGGAGGAGGGAGGGAGAAGGAGAAGAAGGAGGATGGAGAGGCCAAGGACAAGGTCAAAGACAAAAACAAAGACAAGGGCAAAGGCAACGCAAAGTAAAGGAAGAGGAAGAAGGAGGAGGAGATAGAGGAGAAGGAGAAGAAGGTGAAGGAGAGCGAGAAAGACGACGGAGGATGAGGAGGAGGAGGAGGAAGAGGAAGAAGAAGGAGGAGGAGGAGGAATAAGAAGACGAAGAAGAAGAAACAGAAGAATAAGAAGAAGAGGGGGAGGAGGAAGAGGAAGAGGAGGAGGAAAAAGGAAGAGAGGGGTAAGAAGAGGAGGGATATCGAAGCGCCTCCTCCCTCGCGAACATGGAAACAAAAAAGCAGATGGCTCGAAGCCGATACTATATTTCCCACATTTATTTTTTTCATCTTCCCCTCTACTTCTTTGCCAAGTAGATATTCATGAATCACTTAAGCACTGGCACATGTCCTCACTGACTTACTTGCTGAGTGACACATATTCATCACAGACCACTTTCTAAGGGGGGGGGCTGACATGTGGCTCAACCATCACTACTAAACGGAATTCCTGACTCAGAACACATTTTTTTTCACTAATTAAGTCCCACCCAGCACTCCCTTAATTCAAAATCCTCTGATGTGTCATGTAAAAGATTAAAACAAAATCATTACTCGAGAGATAAACGAATAAATAAACCAAATCAACAAATAAATAGAAAAAAACATACTAAACAAATAATAAAAACACTCTCCACATCATCTCAAAATATGATTCTAACGCTACACGAGCCAAAGAAATATTTCAATAAGCTGAATCAATCAATAAACCAAAAAAAAATCTATACCCACAGCATCCCAGGCGATACAAATCCGAGAGCGCGCGAGATGAAGCGAGGCGCCGGTGAGAGATCGGCCCATCAGTCGGATGCTGGAAGGGCGGGATGGGGAAGGAGGCAGGGGATAGGGGGATGGGGGAAGGATATGGGGGAAGGGGAAGGGGAAGGAGGGTTAGGGGATGAGTAAAGGTGAGTGAGGACAGGGGGAATGGGGGTTAGGTAGGGAGGAAGGGGGAAGGGGGTGAGGGCGGGGGAATGAGGGGGTTAGGGTAGGGAGGAAGGGGAAGGGGGTGAGGAGGCGGGAAGGAAGGAGATGGGGGAGGGAAGGAGGGAGATGGGGGAGGGGGATGGGGGGATGGGGATGGGGGAGGGGAGAGATGGAGGGGAAGGGAGTGACGGGCTTGCGATTCACGCGCTGATGATCAACACTTTGTCGTAACTCCTCGGGGGTAAGAAGTGGTTGGTTTATTGTGCCTTGGTCGATCTCTTTCGCGTTTTTTTCTTCATTCCCTTGTTTTTTCCCTGCTTCCCCCCTTTTTTCTCTCTTTTGTTGATTTATTTTCTGTATTCTCTCTTCTTTTCTGATTTCTTTCTTTCTTTACTCTCATCTTGAATTCCCTATCTTTCTGTGCTTCGTAAGTACAGCTTGGTCGTCTGCAAACCTTCTTGTTTGAAGCTCTGTAATTCTTATCATATCTAACATTTTCATCTATTTTTTGTCATTTTTATCTCTCATTCTTATTACATGTTACTTTTCAGTTAAAGATCTGCTTATCCTTATCTAAATCTATTTTTAATAAAGTTATTTTTAACATTTCATGGTGATTCATCTTCTAATTATTTCCTTTTGTTCTCACTGTTCTCATTTTAGTGTGTCTCTTCTTTACGTCTGTCTGTCTCTTTCTTCTTCACGGATCTTCCTAACAACTCTTTCCTAAGTCTCTCTCCTGTATCTTTCTCTCACCTTCACTTCCTGACATCAATCCGTCTCTCTCATTCTCTTTTACCTTTGTCTCCAATTCTCCTGACAGCATTCTCTCTCTTTCTGTCTCTCTCTGCCACTTCTCTCTTTCCTCTTCTTCTCCCCACTTTCCCCGAACTTATGGCGCACACACCTCGAAGAGAGCGTCTTCTATCCCCGGCACCATTCTTTACGTCGAGCGTTGCGTGCCGCGCATAATGAATGCCGAATATCGGAAATTGATGAAAGAAAATGCAACAAACGGAAATAACAAACGCACGGACGGGAATATCGCAGGATCTGCTGGTTATTCTTCACCGCCAATCGACGGGGTATTTCAGGCGATCTAATTAACTAAATGATTTATCAATCCAAGCAATCAATCTGCTACATATGCAAATCAACCCGTACCCCAAGTCCGACCCCAAGTAACAGACCCAAAACCTAACGTGACTCCAAAACCACCTACTGCGATCCAAGCACCCCCCCCCCCCACACACACACACACACTGCCCGTGAGTTCCGCACCCACCGCTTCGACCCCTGGCTCAACCTCTGGCCCCGCACCATGTGACACCGACCCCCACCCCCTCTATCACCACCAACCCCACCCTCCCTCACGTCCAACGTTAAACGAACGCTTTTTCGGTGTCAAGAACCGCGTTCAGTATGCACCAGGCGGGCGCGCGGCTCCCGCCCCCGAGGCCTTCGCCAGAACGACTCCATTGGCGGTGAATACGCTGCGAATTGGCCGATGGGGCCTTCACGGGGAATCGGGAGCCGCACACGCAGGGAGCGATGCGGAGCCGCTCTTCTTTTCAACAATCAGCAAAACAATCAGCAAAGATAAAAAACGATCTATGTTCTTAAACGATGGCAAAAAGAGTCAGTCACATAGTCAGCTTGGGATTGGTGATGAGCGTGTGTGTAGAGTGTTATCTTCTCGGCGTAGCGATCCTGGCACGGATATCAGGAGGTCCAATGTCAGATTTCCACTATGATCTGCCTTCGCGCCACTGCCGTCGAACTGATATTTCGTGATTCCAGATTCAGACAGCTCTGTCGTCGCTGGGATTGCCCCCCCCCCCCCTGCATCATAGGTGACCTTATGCTAACAAGACAATGTTACGTGTCTATAAAGTATAGATAGATACATAGATAGATAAATAGATAGATAGATAGATAGATAGATAGATAGATAGATAGATAGATAGACAGACAGATAGATTATATATACATATATATTTATATATATATATATATATATATATATATATATATATATATATTATATGCAAGTATGAATGTAAATAAAGATATAAATATATCTTAATCTAGAATAAACAAATGGATAAATAAATATATGTATATATACGCATATACGTGTGTATGTGTATATATGGGGAGAGAGAGAGAGAGAGGCGAGAGAGAGAGAGAGAGAGAGAGAGAGAGAGAGAGAGAGAGAGAGAGAGAGAGAGAGAGAGAGAGAGAGAGAGAGAGAGAGAGAGAGAGAGAGAGAGAGAGAGAGAGAGAGAGAGAGAGAGAGAGAGAGAGAGAGAGAGAGAGAGAGAGAACAAACACTGTCCAAAAATTGCATTTTTCCCCAACAAGAGAGAGAGAGAGAGAGACAAAAGGCAGGCCCTGATTCTCAATATCCACCTATGCGTAATACAAAAACGTTTCTTACACCAACCAAACAGCCTCTCTCCAATCTAATACCTCCATCCACACACTGCCACAACAACACAATAAAAAAGCGAAAATATCGATATGATTCAACGGATTAGCTCGCCGTCTGTGTCGCGCGCGGACATTTCGCGGGATCGGTGACGGTTATTTCGTCGCCGTACGATAGAAGTAGTTGTTGTTGTAGAAAGAAGAAGTAGTAGATGATGTTGTTGAAGAAGAAGGAAAAGAAATTGAAGAAGAAAAAGACGAGGGAGAGGAGCAGCAGCAGTATAGTAAAGAAGAAGAAGAAGAAATAGTAGTAATAGTAGTAGTTGTTGTTGTTGTTGCAGAAGAATAAGCAGCAGCAGCAGCAGTAGTAGTAGTAGTAGTAATAGTAATCGTAGTAGTAGATGAGAGAAAAGACGAAGACGAAAAATCAATGATGGTGATAATGATGTTGAAGATGGTAATTGATGATGATAGCGATGATTATTGATGATGATGATGATGATGATGATGATGATGATGATGATGATGATGATGATGATGATGATGATGATGATGATGATGATGATGATGATGCAAATTATGAAAATGAAGATGATGAAAGAAGAAGAGGAAGTAGAAAAAAATGAAAATAAG